TGTAACTGACTGATGAACTTTAAAAAAGCTGTAAAAGCAGTCAGATGAATGAATGTATATTCGCTCATTTATTGGACATTAATGACCATGTATAAAGTGAATTTAATGGCACTTCATCTCATTTCCCACATCAGCAACTCACAGCTAAGTCTTGGATTAATTAGCAGATGCAGGAGGGTGGCCAAGAGCTTTGTGGCTGTTATGACTGAGCTCGGCTTGGCTGCAGTGTAATGCAGATCAAGGCAACACATGTCTGCCAGATATTGTGTTTGAGGAGTTTGTTCTGCCTTTTCCTGGGCATAATCAGACGACTTCCGTCACCACACATTTCCCAGAAGTGCTGAAATGCCTTATCGCATTCTTTTAAGACTGATTTCCTTCCATTTCTACCTGTTCTCAAAGTTTTATTTTGGCATTGCTCAAACTTTATGCCCCGTGACCTCTTTCATTTTGTGTGTTTGTATACTTGATGCTGTGTGCTCATTTATGCATCGTAAAAGTTGCATTAACTTTTTAATATTCTGTACAGGTTAAAAATAAATCCACCCAGATCTCTGTTCTGTATTAAATGTGTTATTCCAGTTTATAGTTGAGCTTTTTTAAAATTACAGAAATGATTGATGTATTTTTCTTCAGTATAAAGAAACTTGGTATTTATGTTTTAAAGGTCTTACTTAATTCAGAAGAAACCATTTGAGATGTCCATTGGACCACATTAATATAGGAAAACATACAGTGAATTTTGGAGAATTTATAGAAAACATTCAAGATACTATCTCTGATAATAAGTAATAATAAAGTAATAAATTACATATGCCTGTTTTTAAGTTTCATATCTGTGCTGTATGTTTCTTACTAATAATTTGATATTATCCTTATCCAGTCTCTCACTAGAAAATTTTTCTCATTTTTTTTTCATTCTGAGAATTAGGCATGCATTCCCTTTTAGACATACAGCCCATTTAGGCACTCTTAGTAGAACCATCTTTTTAAAGATTCTGTATATCTCTGCTCTCACTATGATGGTCAGATTTTCTACAGTTTTTGGCTGTAAACTGTTTTGCTGTCCTTACAGACATTTCCAGATTGTTTAGCTCTACTAACTCCTTCCAAGAATAATGAGATCTGTTAACCTGAACGTGTCTTCCAGCACTGAAGTCCATTCTTTATTTTACCTAATAGGTGTGTACCAAGTAAAAGGTTATAAAGCAAAGTACTTGCAAAGCAATACTAAATGAAGAAAGCTAAAGGACAAACACATCAGAGATGTGGAAATAGACTGAGACAAGTATGCAGACAAGAACAGGAATAGAAGAGGTGAAATATTGCAGATTTGGAGATGGCAAGACAGGAAAAATTTGAATATGATGACAATATTGATTACAAACCTGAGCAAATAGCATATTTAAGAGAGAATAATGAGAGGGATGTCATAAAATGGAAAAATGTTTCATGCTAGAACTAATAATTGGCTATGTATTTCCTTCAGAAATGGTGCTAGTCCCACAACAAAACCTGCAGCAAATTTTCTTCTCTTGAGCTTTTTTTTTCTGCATTAATTTCTATTACATTGCTTTAAGGTTCTTCCTGTTCCAGAGGTCTGTAGAGGACTGGGTAAGCTGAAGTCAGCCTCCATGTCACTGGGCCCAGCAGCTAAGGCTTTTTTATGCACATTCAGCTTCCTTTTTCAGACTCAAGTTTATTTGAAAACAATACATTTCCATCCAAGCAATGCAGTGATATTTTACATCATACCACAAGTCAGCACTCAGTATTTTCATACATTTTGGGATCTTGCTTAGTAATTGTAGCTTTAAAATTTTAGACAAGTAAGCAGATAACAATGTCTCCTTTTCAATATCATGGTATTCCATGATGAATTCAAAGCCAAAATAAAAGTTTTAACTTTAAATAAATTCTCAAAGTGCTCATTAAAACAGATTAATTATCAGAAATACGTATTTGTAGAGAAAACAAGGTGAAGAAGAGAGCCCACTGGGGATTTCTAACATGGCTGCTGTGTTTCTGGGAAGTTGCCACTCCCGTTTTATTATTCAAAGCAATAAATAGCCTTTATTCCTCAAACTGCAGGACTGCCACTCTCTATTACACAAGGAATCAAGCATCCTGGGTAGAAACCAACCGTTGTCAATACAAACAGGGAAAAGAAACCGTTCTCGTTTAAAAAAAAAAAAAGTGATTAATGACTTCTTTTAGCTCAAGCGTTTGTGATTTATATGGCAATTTCATACTTTATTATTCCAGATTTTTGAATGTGATACATAAATTTATGACTATACCAATGCTAGATGTAATGCCTCTCTGCTGAGTGCTCACATTTCCCGCTCTGACACGCTAGGAGGTGTCGAGTGACCATTTTGGTTTTAGTATTATATTAAAAGGAGTATTTGACATAAAGATCTGAAATGTAAATTGCTTCTCATGTATTTCATGACTAACTAAAGGTCAGGAAATTCTAAGTGACTGTTGGTATTGCCTTCATCTCATGATGCATGTACACCTGCACCAGTAACTGTGTTAGGCAAGGTTTTATTGTGGTTGTTTACAATGAAAGCAGAAGATCCTCTTCCTGACATTGCCTATCATGATTACAGCAGTAAGTCTGTTCCTGGTTTTCCCAGTCAGCCCTTTCAAGCTGAAGCTTGGGTAATGCAAGATCATCCTTAAAATCCCAGCTGTGGGCCTTACTGTACACATAACCAAGTTCTATTGTCTTCTTTCACTGATAAAGCTTCTCTAGAACCACCAGTCTGCCCTAGACTAGATGGTCCTGCTCTGGCAGGGGGATTGGACTCAATGATTTCTGGATGTCCCTTCCAACCCCTAACATTCTGTGATTCTGTGATTCAGTCCCTCCCAGCAAGACTCTTGTCTTGAGTCTTCCTCAGTACCAGATCTCATAGGTATGTAGGTTCCTCTACAGAGCTCCATGACTTCTTACCAACTCTATTCTTTCTATTACAGCCTTTCTTTTTCAGTGAAGTGAGCAGCTGACGTACTCACCCCCTGCTGATCCCTTGGCTCTCAGCTGTCTCTAGTCTCAGACTTCAGTAAATCTGCAAGTAAACTCTGTTGCTGTACTCCTGTCTTTTGCCTTCTCCAGGCCTTTAGTTCAAATTATGCCATATTAGGAAAGCAGTATTACATTTTGTATTGTTTCACTAGTTTCAGCATTCTTGAGTCTTGATTCTTCATCTTGGAAAGCTCCTCATGTTCTCAAGTGTATATGTAGCTTTCTGCCAGGTTCTTCAGGAAATTCCTGCAGACTTTCCGCCAGAGGTTGCTTCAGGAAATCCTTAATAATGTCTAGTTTCCTAATTCTGCACTTATTGACTTCAATTGCCACTTTGTCCCCTTATTCAGGTACATTTGGGAATCTCAACCTATTTTATTCATAAGAGCCATGAACTTTTGACCTGGCATAGCTAAGAAGGCAAATTATAAGTCTCCAACTACCAGAAAAATTAAGTGGGAATAGTCTCATTACAGATGGAAAGCACTGTCTATTATATTACCAAATTCTTCATGTTTCTCAGCCTAAAATGAGCAGTGACAGGTCCATTTTATCTTTGAGTAATTAGTAGTGTTCAAAGGAACAATGTGAGCTTCTACAAAACCAAAACCTATTTGCCCAGTGAAGATTTAAAATCATATTCAAATTTATTTTTCCTCTTAAAAAAATCTGTACTACCATCTGCCTGCATTCAAGGTCTACCTCTTTATCATTCAGAGTGCCTAATTTTACCAGCAGTGTACATAAGCTTGGCTAAAATCAGTGTGTGGGCCAAGCAAGGAAAAACTGGTGGCTCTGCTGATTTTCTAGGTGTTTGAATATTATAATAATGGTGACAGACTCTTCTTCAAGAAGATACACAGAAATATGCAATTTTCTCAAAGCTAATCAGCCAAAACTTTCACTATAAGTCATCTCTTGTGAAAACAAACAAACAAACAAACAACCTTTCATAATGAAGTAAAGCAAATTTTGCTTTTAAAAATGTAGCTGAATCATTATGGATAGACTCATAAGGAGATTTACTCATAAATTGTGTATATATGATCAAACACCTCTGATAGCAATTAATGCCTGTGTTGCAAGTACGATTTGTGGAGGTATTTGTTTTCAGAGTATGAGCAGATGATCAAGATTTCTGCTAACACACTTTCCTTTTAAACCAAATGATCAATATTCTTCAGGCTTTTCAATTGTCAATAGTGTCAGCAGTCTTCCTGAAGCTGTGTTTGGATAAGGACATGCATAGTGGTACATACTTGACAGCTGCAGAGTCCTAGCTTTTTATTTGCAAATTGTTAAATGCATTAGTCATTCCATGGGCCTGTTTACTTCAGTTGGTGAGTGCACACGAACCAGGAAGGGTGATACTTTGCTAGGAGTAAACTAGTTCCACTCTCTAGTTAAGAAACAGCCAGTGCTTCTCTTTTATGAAGCATCTCTACTGTGGAGCTCTGTTAGACATATGGAGATATTCCATTCATGCTTTTATCAGCCATTATTCTTGATAAAAGGTTGGATATTCCAGCTGATGAAGGCCTTGTATAACCTTTGAATAAGCTTTATGTCAGATTTATGCTTTGAGTCTCTCTATATGTCATGTCTTGAAGACATGTTGCTGGAAAGATTTAATTTTTCTCATGGGTCAAGATTGAATCCTCTTCAACCTAAAGAACTGATAATATAGTAATAGGACTTCTCCTAGCCAATAATTGAATGAAAAATAAAAGGAAATGAAAATATGAAGATTAAAATAAAGAGTTTAATTTACTATGGATTGTCGCCACCAAAGTTTATACAGGAGTTATGCATTACTGGCCAAAGACAAAAGCCCTTATGTGCTTCTGTTCACATCTTACAAATCTGTAACTATTAAATGGTTATTGACTTTAAATACATTTTCTGTGGGAATACCAACTTAAATTAGTTTTAACTAAAAGTGTATTATTTTTGTTTCTTTCTTTAGGAAGGAGATTCCAAGTGAACAAGTGAAACATGCTGATAGAGAGCAAGCAAAGCGTATAGTTTACTCAGTGGTGTATGGAGCAGGTAGGCATTTTTTTTTTTAAAAAAAAAACAAAAACCAAAACCAACCAGCTACAGTAGATTCATATTTTATATGTAATTAATGCTTTATATGTAACTGCAGAAAGCCTGCAAAAATCCACAGTTGCCCATTCTGCCTGAGTCCTGCCCAGGTGCTAGATAAGACAATCTGCATTCTTTCTAAAACTTCCTATCATTTCTTAAATGATGGCCATATCCCCTTATGCTTCACTGAAGCTTAGAATTACCTTTTCTGGGAAGACAGGTACATACATATCATCAGCCTGCAAGCTTTTGTGAGTTTTAGTGAATAGCTAACTAAACTTCATGTAGGCCTTCTGGAGAAATCCAAAACCTCTACAGAAGAGGAGTAATTGGAAAACTCATTTAGGAAATTAGAGCCCTAGGTTGAAGGCTTTATTTACCTTGGAAGCACTTAAAACTACATTTTGGGTTGCTGGAGGAGAATGCTTTCTACACCATCTTTTGCAGTGAGTCATCAATAGTCCTTGTACCAAAGACAGAGCTGGCCAAGGGCATTCAATTTATTGTTTAGGGCATTCATCTGGGAAGGGGAGAAAAACAATTCAGTTTCAGCTCTCCAGAATATTTTTTTTCTGTGTAGGGCTGTGCGTAGATTATAACACATGTGCATATTTACGTTAAGTTGTACTGCATTTTAAACATCTGTGTTCAAAATCTATCTTGAAAAAGCCCAGCACTAGCTCCCTGCAGTGTAAATTCAGACATTCAGACCTTTCCATGGTGAGACTGGAACCAAATCTCCCATTTCCAGCCTGAACATTATTTTAGAAAAATTAATTCTTTTGCAAAATTCAAGCATTAGAAAAATGGCCCTTGGTCTGTGTGGATGCTCCACATCTCCTGTCTGTTCCCTTCACTCTGGGTGGAACAGGAGGGTACCTGACTTAGGCTGAATCACCACAGGCTGAATGCTCTTATAGTCAATAGAGAAAAGGAAAAGCCTCAGTTGCTGGAGCTAGAGCCTCCCTCAGTAGAGCCTATGTCTGACAACTCATGCTATAGAGAACTTAGATGATTAAATTAAGCAGAATATTGACATTCCTTCACTTGCTCTGTACCAGGCACTAAACATTTCACTGTGGCAGTGCTTGACCAGAGTAACTCCATTTACTTGTTTGTGCTTTATCTCCCTCTCTCAAATGAGGGCAGTTGAAGCACCTCGAAGATAATAAGGTGCTTCAGTCCATTAGCAGTGTGATCAGATCCTCATTAAGACATAACATAGAGTGATATCATTAAACTATGTAGGTGGGACCTGGGCTGCCAAAAATTGTTAGATATCTGAAACTGATGGACTGAATTCCACCCACAGTTTGTCTCCCTTCAAAAGATGGCTAACTTTTCACTAAGGAGACATTTTGATGCAACTGAGCAGTGTGAATAGTATTTATTTCACTTCTTTTGGGATTGAAAAATACAGTAGTATTCCCTGATGAGCTTGCCTGTATTATGCTTAGAGAAGTTAATTAAAATCTTTCCTGTAGTAAATAGTAGTCTTTTTTTTTCTTTCTGTTCTCTTAACATTAGGTTACACTTGGTTCATACTTTCAAAGTCTTTTATAGAATCCTGGAGGATAGAAAATAGTATAAAGATGAACCTGCTTTAGCAGAAGGGTTGGACGATGATCTTTGTCAGTCCCTTCTAACCCTTACCATTCCATCGAAAGAAGAGCCTATAGATCATGTCTAGGAGCTGGTACTTTAGTAAATACTGCTACAGTATTGAGAGGAATGATGGTATTACGGTTTTTTGCTTGGCTTGGAGCAATTCAGTTTACTTGCTTCTTCCTCAGTCCCGCTGTAAAACTAAAGCATAGACAGCTTAAACATCTCTAAAGTAAGGAATTAATTCTGTTCACTGGCAGTGTGTTCAAGCTCTGAATTGACACAGGGGGATTTGAAGGTGTTTAAATGAAAAACAGAGAAACTACTGATATTTTCAGTTTTGAAAGATAATTTTACAGAATGGGGAACACTAAAACTCACAGGCTGTTGCTAACAATTCCCCTGGCACAGGTAATTCAAGGAGAGTGCTCAGGGAAGCTTTATTCCCCTCCTGAGCGTTGCTCTGCTCCTGCATTGTGCAACAGGAGATGACACAATTTTGTGTCTGTACATTCCTCTCCTTTTGCTTCCCAGCAACTGCCTTTCCCTGGAACTTCTCAGACTTCCTTACTGATATTGTAGCTTAGTTTCCCTAGTATTTTATGTAACACCTTGTTCTCTATATCAGTAGTTCTTTAAATGGATAACATGGACAAATTTAGATGTTACAGTCCTCTAAGGAAGCCTCAGCAATCTCCTAGCTGTTAACAATATGTGCTTTAGCAGGTAGATTTGTCATTTGCTGACCTAGCAAGAAAACCCAAATTACTTTGATGTCAAATAAAACTACAGACCTATAATAGCTGAGCAAGAGCCATCCTGGATGTCTTGAGAATTCTTCTTCTAGCACCTTGTCCAGACTGGTGTTCCTGTAGCTTGGTGCAGATCATGGCATGATTGAGAACAAAATGCTACAGAATTGTTCTGAAATGCACAGCAGACTGACAGTGATGGCATTTAGGTGGCTGAAATCTTCTCTCTTTCAGTGATACTAGACAATTTTTCTTGACAGTATTGCTGTGACAATAACTATTCTGTGCCTTTGGTGCCTTGAGACATCGCCTCTCAGCTTGTGTTATTTGCAGGCACAGTGCTGGTTTTGTGTTGCTGTGTACCTAACATAAATATATCTGTCTTTCAAACCTCATATGTCTAAGGTTGACGTATGTTTTATTTTTACTGGAACTATTTGGTTTATAAATGTGTTTAAACTTTAGCTCTTAGTTTCTATTTTCACACTCTGGAGAACTGTCTTCAGCTTTTTTCCACCTTATCTTATAAATGCTCTTGGATCAAACACAATATATATATTGTGCACCTATATCCTATCCAAAAGCTGATATTCCTTTCTTTCTCTGTTAAAACACTTTTTATCTTTTTTAATTTTTCCAACCCTTCTATCTTACAACTGGGACACAGATTTTTACAGATGTCAAGGAGCCTAAAACTGCTTGAAATCTGTGAATCTGTGGGACTCAGGCTCCTAACAGCCTTTGTAAAATCAGGCTTGGTCTGATTGCTTCAGCAGTTCAGTTCTTCTGTGACTTCTACACCAAACCTATCTAAACTCAACCAGCCACATCTCTGTGCTTCTTTTAGATCTTCATTCACATTTGTATTTGTTTAAAATTGATTTAAAATTTATCTGCTCCTCAGATTTTGCAGACTTCAATACTGTACGAGTAAATAGTTACTTAAAGCAACAGTCATTCTGCGAACAAAAGAGATTTCAACCATATTATAGGTATAAATTATAACTAGGCTTTTCTTAATTACATATTTCTTATATACTTATTAATTATATTCTTTATCCAGTAGCTTCAGTAAAACATTCCGGCTCAAAGTTAAACTTTTGCTTTGTTGCAATATGACTGTAATATATCAGAGACATCCACTTTCATAGAGGTAAGTGAAGTCAACTAATGCTACTAACTGTGACTGTAACAGTGCTATCCTATGTAGTGGATTTCTACTCTGCTTTGTTGTATAATAGAGATAATTCCTTTACCACCAGGTAAAGAACGTCTTGCTGACTGCCTGGGAACTACTCCTCTTCAAGCCAGTCAATTTATAGAGAGTTTTATGCAAAAATACAAGAAAGTCCATGAATTTACAAAGAAAACCATTGAACAGTGCCGAAATAAAGGTAATGCAAAGTCGGGAAGCCTGTTTTTGCTTACTGTGATCAGTACTGTGTGACAGTAACCAAACTGACTTCGGGTGTAACTCAACCCAAATTCAGATAGTTACACAAGAGAAGAGATGGAATATCATTTCTTGGTGAACTGAGGTTGTTTTTGTTTTTTTTTTTTCCTTTTTAACCATAGGAGGAGCTGCTTAAATCTGTCTGCCTTGTCTCAGACAAATGCTAACAGAATGAGACGTCTGTTCTCAGAGTGAACCCTACTTAATGTCATGTTACACTGCATCATTTTGATGTATGATGTATTCCAACACAAAAAAGCCCAAGGAATCTTTTACTTAATAAGTATGCTACATGGCTGCTGGACCATCGCAGTTCAGCCATTTAGTCAAAGAGCCAATTCACAGAGCCAATTGTTTTTAACTTATTTTTTCTTTGCATCAGTCAGAATTTATGTTCTTGAAGTTCAGGTGGTATCTGTGATGACAGATGTGTGCAGAGTGCTTCTTGAAGCCAGCAGCTGCAAACTCTTCTTGCATCAAATTAGTTGTTACTCTACATATTCATTTATATTTAGTGAATCCTAGGGGTGCATTAATTTGAGTGGAGGAAATAGAGCTGTTTGAAATACTGCCTTTTAAAAGCTAATTAACAGAATGGACAAAATTGATTTAATTTATTTCTTAATGGAGTATACAGTGCCAAGATATTTTTTAGAAATAAATAGTAAATTTGCAAGATAATATTGCCCATTGTTGTTTGGGTGAGTGTCATGATAGAAAAATATTACTGATTTCCAGTCATGAAAACGGATATTATTCCTTTCTTTGTACTTTGTAGGGCTTAAAAATCTCTTGGAAGCATAAACTTTCATTGTGTCATGCAGTTGCATTCCTTCATTCATTAATATTTCTAAAGAAAAGTGAAGTTATTGAAAGTCTATTTTTAGGTAGAATTAAGCCAAATATATCTGGTAAAATGTTGCACACTTATTATGTATTTTTAATCTATTTAAACTAACATAGCATTCTTTTCTTAAAGGTGAATCAATTTCAATAACCAGATTTCTGTGATAAAGAATCTGGTTTATGAGTTTAGTAGACAGGAGTGTCATAACTTATATCCGTGACTGTCATTGAAATGTACTTATCTAATTAGTACTTAATCCTCCTCCTGCTCCCATCTATCAGCCCCTTTTAAAACTATTAATGGTAGAAGAACAATCTGTTGTGGTCGTACAAGCTCAAAAAATCTGCAGCAGGTCAATATTATTTAATATTTTTCTTGCTAATCCACCTCAGATTCCAGCTTCCCAACAAAAACATTCCAACCTCATAAACTCACTGTAAGCTGAGTTTTCTTTGCTTATCTGCAGTTCAAAGGTGAACAGCACCCACCTGACTAGTATTGAGTGTTATGAATGTCTGATACTCTGTGTAGACATGATAAGCATATAAATAATATTAATTTGTGATGAAGATATTTTTGTTAGAGTATTAGTATATATGTTAGTATATCTTTGTTGGGTTTTGATGAAATTATCCACATATTAAAAAGACTACATTAAGACCTCATTCAAATATGTATTTGCAGATTAACCTTTGACCACAGGAGCACACTTTGCTACTATTATATGAAAGATGGTGTTTGTTTGGGGATGCTAATCAGCTGGGTGATTCTGCTGTGGAGACACACCACACAGGAATAAAGATATAAGAGTAAATCTGCTTCTCCATGAGAATCCAGTGATTCAAGTATTCCATCTTTACATACTGTTCCTCATGGAAAATCTTAGTTAAATTGGGAAGAAAGATTTGTTAAAGAAAATCCTAACCAGATAAACAGCTCTTTTTCCCTAAACTTGTACTTTTGGTATCAGTGCTCCTGGAAACATACTATTTCACAGAAAGCTGTAGTAATTCAGCACAGAACCATCTTCATCCTCTGAACATAAGTCTGGGTATGTGTTGGTTATAGCTTTGTCTTTGAAGAGGTCTCCTTACCACATGTGCTTGCTTGTCTTTTTTGCCAAAGAGGAGATGAAACTGAGGCAGGTGGAACTTCTAAGGTATCTAAACAAAATTCATGGATAGACAAGGTGATAGAATTGTAACAAAAGATTTTGTGAATATATATTTTTAACATGGATGATTTTTCATTTTTCTTAAAATAAGAAGTTTAGTTTTGTTGTAAACTGAGATAAGGTTTTTAGTGTGTTGTTTTGACAGAAGGATCCTCACATCTCTTTTTCTCTCTCAGCACCTCTCACTTGCCTCCCCAAACAGTTGTTTTGGCAAAATACATCATTAGGCCTAACATAAAGCTTGAAGTGTGTTTTTGTGCATTTCTTTTAAACTAAAAAACATCACCACAATAGAGTTAGGGAAGTTTGTCCGTGAAAGAGACATGAAAATACCACATAAAGAAAATGGAAAAAAAAGTTATAACTGTCTGCTAATTTGGGGAAATACTCATTAATGATTTCATTACTCTACAAATTGATTTTTCTTTACTATTCCCAAGTAAACTATTCATTGCATGGAAAGCTCTAATTATGGCTGCTAATAGATAGCTAATTCTGCTAGGTATTTATAGTTTCATCTCCACGGAGAGTTTGCTGGTGTATCAGTAGACCTTCCTAATGAAACTACAGCTTTAATGAACAGATGTTTCCCTCACGTAACAGGTACCAATCCTCTGAATGAAATAACTCTTGGGCCAGAAATACAATAAGCATTTAAGCTCTAAATAAAAGAAGCTCTGACTATTTTCAGAGGGCAAAATATTAAATTGACTCCAGCAGCACATAATGACCAAAGTCTGTATTATCTTCAAAAAGAATTTTTGAAATTTAATCAATCTAAGAATACTAATTTCTGTTTAAATCCTGCCAGGTTATGTAGTTTCCATAATGGGACGTAAAAGACCACTGGCAAATATCAATGCACAGGATTACAAGCTACGTACTCAAGCGGAGAGACAGGCTGTCAATTTTGTTGTTCAAGGTAAAAAAACTCTCCGCCTGCCATCCTACTTACTTACCTTTCTCTGTGCTTGCCTTTAGTGGACAACAACTATGCTAGTCTCAAAATAATGAGTATTATATAATATATGAGTATATGAGTTGTTCACTGGAGCAGACTTCTGAGGCATGAATTTAACTATAGGAGAGAAATTTGAATGATGTATTCTATCTACCTTGGAAATTGCCAGTGAACAGTATCATCATCATCATCACAACAGTTTCAATGTTCTAATACACTGTACAATGTACTAATACTCTGTAGTAGTTAAACATAGGTACAGATACAAGCTATGTATAGAGAGAATATCTAGAATTTAGTGCTTCAAATGCAGTATTATATTAAAACATTTTCTTTTCTGATTGTGATAGTGTATTAATCCAAAATAGTTTCTCTGATTATGCTGCTTACAGATTCTTTTATTTTGCTAGATAGCTTCAGTTTGTGAAATACACAACATTACAGGAATAATTCATTGTTATTATTTACTTTGAAACCTAACTCATTCTTTGTACAGAACATTCAAACTTAATCATGTGGAGGGAAAAAAAAAAGTCTTTTTTCACAGAAAAACACTGCAATATTTGTCATATAGGTTGGATATATAACATGTTCAAATGTTAGTTAATCTGATGCATTAACATACTCTGTTTAAATCACGTGGGGCTCAGTGTTGTACAGAACTTAGCCACCTAAAGGAAAAAAAATACCTGACTGTTAGTCCAAGACTGAGATGCCTCCTGCCAAGCTATCCCCTGGATGAATTATTATTTTAACTGTATTAAACTGACAGGGTTTTCATTAAGTTGTTTTGGAAGTGTACAATTTGCAACCGAGTAAAAGGTGCTTGCTAGACATGGTTATAGCATGCTTTTTATAAAGTGATTTGAATTTGTCTTTTGGAAGGACCTTGTGTTTTTTCTTCTTTTTTTTTTTTCTCCAAATATTATTCATTTTAATGCTTCATTTTAAACATGACTTAAATCTTTCTGTCACCTTTGACTCTCCTTATAATTAGGAACTGAATTTAAGTACTGTCTCTGCAAGGATATGTACAGAACCAGAATCCTAATACATGCCCTGTTGGTTGTGCTCAAGGGATGGCTGCCTTGCTTTAGTAGGCACCCAACTGTAGAATTTTAAAATGTCCATATAAAATCCACAGCAACGCTTGCATTTTTATAGCTCTGGGCATGCCTGTGCAACCTTCTCCAGAGACCTGTGTTTGGTTCACCTGGGTTTCCATCCAGCTGGCCAGCAGCCCTCTCCTGTTGAAAGCACAATGCTTGAGCTAACACAGCGAGTCCTGCTGAGTGTACAGGGCAGCATTAATCAAGGTACACGGCCTTCCAAGCAGCACTTGCTTATGTCCATCTGTCCAAAGAGCTTGGAGCTGAGGCAAAGATATCACAGAGCTGTCTACGAAACACTCGCTTGTATGTGCCTACAATAATAAGATAATTGTGTTTCATTGCTGAAATAATTGAAATGCTTGAAATAATATTGGAGAACAAATCTGATGAAAAATAACATAACAGTTAATCATAACATGTAATACTAGATGGTGTTATGAAGCTAGGATTAAAAACTCTGAAATATTCAGTGTTCCAAACTTTTATTAAAAATTCATTCTAGACAATGATTTTTCAATTTCAGGATTGCATCTAGGAGGTAATATTTTAAGACTGCAAAAAGTTTGTAAATTATGTTAAAATATTTTATCACAGTTACTGTACTAAAATGCATTTAATATATATGTTTTTTAATTATACCTAATGCTCCAATTAATTTAAGCAGTTTGCATTTTGGTTAGGGTAGCAGCAACTGATAACAGGAAGAATTCTTCTGATGCACGACTATATTGAAAGGAATGTTAGTTTCAGCTTTAACTTACTACAACAGGATTTCCCACCATTCTTTCGTATATTTTCCTCTTTTTTAATATTTCTCAGTTCAGTAGTCTTTATCAATGTGCAATAATATTTTTTATTATAATTCAGCTTTACATAACTGCATAGATTAAACTATTTTTTTATTATTATTTATTTACGATTGTGGCAAAATCAACCAGAGGGATATAATAAATTTCTTTTGAAATATTTTAAATAGCATATCTCTCAAAGTCATATCTCAGAAAAAAACTATTTTGAAAGTTCTCTTGCATTTTATTACTTTATGTTGTTTCATGAAGAATACATATGGAACATGTGTGTTGTGATGGACTAAGTGCTCAGTTATATAATTCTTACAGTCACTAAGAAATTTATCTGATGTTTCTCAAAGCATCCTTTCTTACTTTTTACATCAATGTGTCCCTTTTTGTGTTGTGTTGAACCAATTTGACACATCATTTGAACATGAAAACAAGATAGGTATTTGAGGCTAAATCATAGAATCATAGAATCCTTTAGGTTGGAAGGGACCTTTAAGATCATCAAGTCCAACCATTGAGCCAATAGGGCTCTAAAGTCCTCTGCTAAAACAGATCAGAATCTGTCAGGGTTGGAAGGGACCACAAGGATCACCCAGTTCCAACCCCTCTGCCATGAGCAGGGACACCTCCCACTAGATCAGGCTGCCCAGAGCCTCATCCAGCCTGGCCTTAAAGTACTCCAGGTGGGGTCTCACCAGAGCAGAGTAGAGGGGGAGAATCACCTCCCTCAACCTGCTGGCCACACTTAACGTCGTTAATGAGTAAAACAGAGTCTCAGTATGGGATTCGGAGGAGGCAGTTTGTCATAGAAAACTGTGAAGAAAGAAGAACTGTGAAGTCTACCTCTTTGATCTCTTAGATATTCTCCCTTAGCCAAAAGGGTCAACCATGTCCTAGGGTGCATCAAGCACAGCATAGCTGGCTGCTGGAGGGAGGTGACTGGACTTGACAATGGACTCATGTGGCTCCACCATGAGCACTGTGTGCAGTTTTGGGCACCTCAGACTGTGTACTGAAAAGACCAACCAAGATGGTGAAAAGTCTTCAGGGCAAGGCTCAGGTGGATCTGCTGAGGTAACTTGGTTTGTTCAGCTTGGAGAAGAGAAAGCTGGAGGGTGAGCTCATTGCAGTCTGGAGCTTCTTCAAGGTGGGCAGCGGAGGTGGAGATGCTGATCTCTCTCTGCTGACCAGCAACAGGACACGGGGAAATAGAATGAATTTGTCAGGGGAAGTTCACACTGGACGCTAGGAAAAAGTTCTTTACTGCCTTGGTGGTCAGGCACTGGAAACAGGCTGCCCAGGGAACTCGTCATGGCATCAAGTCTGTCAGAGTTCAGGTGCCTGAATGATGCCCTTAGTCATATGGTTTAGTTTTAGGTAGTCCTGTGAGGAGCAGGGAGTTGGACTTGATCCTTATGGATCAATTATTTAATCTTGAGGTATTCTATGATTGTATCATTATCTCCCAGAAGAGTACCCTTACCATTTCCCTACCTGTCTGATCTTTATCCCTACTCTAGAAGTTGAACCATTTGGAGGAATGAATTCAAAATTCATTGAGTTAGGGGGTGCCAAAAAGAAAACGTCTACAGTCTAGCACTTTTAGGATATCTGACAGGACAAGGAGAATTATGTCTTCCATTTCTATTTAAAGGATTATTTCTGTATTTTATCTATAAATCTTTATGTAAAATGTGTTAAACCCCTGTTGCATGGTTCAGAGCAGACCCCTTCACCAAAGTGCGGGTCTGGAGAGTCTTTCTGCCTCCTGATCACCAGAAATGTGTAGTCTGTTATGTAACATGACACTGTTTTATGCACCACTGCTCTTAAGACTGTAATGTAATGAATATACATGACATACACATGGTAATATGGAAAAGCATAAAACTAAGTTTCCAAATGGAGATGCAGCACTGAAAAAAATGTTCTAGCTTTTTGTGACATTAAATTTTAATTAATTTACAGGCAAATTTCAATTCCAGTTTAGACTTAGATAATTTTATACACATTTTATAAAAAGCAATTTTACAACTCATCGCCATGACTGACAAATTCACCTTTAATTAACACTGCATTGCATATTATTGTTTTCTGGGTTTAATTAACATGTTAATTGCAATGTCTAATTTTCTTTTTGTACACTTTAATTTAAAAGTAGATCACTTTTTCTTGTAGGATCTGCAGCTGATCTCTGTAAAATGGCTATGGTGGAGATTTTTACCTCTGTTGTCGTTTCTCCAACATTAACAGCCAGGTTAGTCATGAATGACAAAACTGATTTTAAAACAAAATTAGTTGAAATTAATGCATTTCTGTCATTTTAAGCAGGTGTAGAATGTGTATGCCTCTGAGTCTTTTAACAAGCAAGGACTTGTGAGGTGGGTTTATAGATTCAAAGTTGCATCTTTATGCTTAAATGGTTGGATCTGTAAATCCATCCCAAGGTGATGAAGTGCCCTGGGGCTGTTTAAACGCGGTCAGATCCAGTTCAGTGGTAGTTCTGCACTTTTGAAGTCAAGTCCACTGATCATATCCTTCCGGTATTTTGAGTGTATTGTACAATGGGAACTGAACATTCAATGAGCTGGGTGGAAAAAAAACCCACAGGAATCAGGAAACCAGTGCTCTAGCAAAAGAAATGAACATTTTTTATTCTTGTATAAATGGATTTCCTTTGCTAAAGAAAAGCTAAGTCATCATGTTTCTCTTCTGTTGTGACTGGTCATAGCTGGGTAGGAGATCATAGAACATCCTCAAGATTTTTATGCCACTAGCAGAAAAAATGAAGACTATCTTTCCTATAATAAAGGATGGAGGGGATTGTGCAGACACTCAGTGAGTGTTATTACTTGTTGCAATAGAAAGCTACTTTGAAGGCAAACGTAGAAAACCAAACAAACAGATCGTCATCTTCTGTAATGTTGTAGTGAACAATCCAGCAGAACAAGAATTTTTGCAGTAGAAGATCAGATAAAAGCAGAGATAGCAGGTACTGCAGAACATTAGTGTTTCTGTTGCCATCCAGAAAAGGAAATCATAAAAACTTAGCAATTGTGTTTTAAGGACCCCACTGGGAGTTTAGGTTAGTACAAAGTAACAGGGTTTGGCCTTCCAAGCAAGTTTACAATTCTGTGTAACATCTAAACCTATACTACTCTGTGTGTGTTTGTGTGTGTATTGTTTACACACAGTGGTGTTGTCTTCATCAATGCTTAAAAATGCAATTTCTAATTACAAATATCAGTTGCACATGTTGAATTCAAAGGTAGAATCACTCCTATGCCAAAAATAGAACTTGTTCTGAGGAACACTCTCAAGCATTACTTTAGGTTCAATAACTAGCTATTTGTTGTAATGCTGAGAAAGCCAAAGGGTTTTGTGGCTAAAGCTCATGAATATTTTCTTCTCTCAACAGAAAATTTTGCTTTGGTTGTCCTTTCTCAAAGCTATTTTTTTTAAAGAAGTAGTGTCACCAAATGGCTAAGTGATAACAGACATGGGGAAGTACTGAAGTTTTGCATGTTGAAGTATCTTGTGTTCTGAAAGAGCAAGGGAATGGCTGAACCACACATCAGAAGATTATCACTTCCTATCCTTCTTATTCCTATCATAAATGTCACATCTGGGAAAGGCCAAGGCTACGAGGACATGTAAAAGAGACAGACTGTTTTAATCTGAAATTTTGAACTCCTGCCAGCCATTACCAACTGGATGGCTTTGCTAAAGGAGAGCCTTTTAATAGTCACTAATGGCTCCGTGCTGTAATATTTAGTAGGTACTTAGAAGCCAGGCTTGTCAGAAAAGCACAATCAATGCCTTTATAAATTCTGTGAACACTCACCTGGTTAAATGGTGACGTTTGAAAACATCACTGTGGTCTTGCTAGAAGAGTATAGGACTGAAAATCGAGAATTTGTGTTTCCACTTGTCTGCCAGGTGAGAGTCAGTTGTTTTTTCAGTGGTCTGTTTCTTGATTTTCTTATCAGTCAGGTCAGCATAATGATCCTAACATCCTTTGTAAAGCCCTTTGAAAAATATTGTTAAAAGGAAGTGTATGCGTAATTGTTGCTGGTGTTGTAACAGTAGGAATGCACAGGAGCTCTTCCAAAATGAGGAATAAAATCAATCTCCTGTTATCATCACATCAGATCATATTCATTCCAAGGATAACATGCTACTATCTTTTCTTATATCTTCATCATGTTGTAAGTATTTTTTTTTCCCCTATTGGAACTTTCAATTTCGGAAACAGGATTTCACTTTGAACAACATATCAAAGAGAAATATCTCTTTACATATGCTTTAGAAGTGATTATGAACCCCACATTTACACTGGGAAGCACTATCCCATTAGGCAGAGCAAGTACTGCCTCACACTCAACATATTGTCTTCCTTACCTTGGAAATAAAAAAAAAAAACTCAAGTAAATTACAGATGGGGTCCTACAGTTTTCAGTGTTCGTTCACAGGTTTGTTTGCAGTCTTCTCCACTGACAGCACTGCATTCATTTCAGCTGCAAGCAACCTCTGACCCAACAGTATGAAGCTTCATTTTTGTAGGAGTAATAGTCAGCAGATTCTCAGTTATTGTTTGCACATACGATATTCCATTTGGAAGTCAGGGAAAGGTAATTGAGTTGCATTTTCATGATGCTTCATCAGAGAGGGCCTCTTGATGAAACAGTGTATTCCACTGTGACTGTTCAATGGCTGGTCTGTCAAATAGCAATCTCATTTTTCTCTTTGTGTTTCTTCATCTTCTAATTCAAGTGCCAGCCTAGGAACTTATGCTGTTGACAATAAAAAGGCAATCAGGTACTTGGAAATAATTTTAGAGAAATGGGGAAGAGTAGCATTAAATGCGATAGATACAGCAAGGAGCTGATACTAGTATGGGCTGGCTATTGGCATCAGTGTTAACATCTCTGCATTTTGTGTGGCGTTGGTGAGTAATCAAAATGATTTCTTCAGACTTCTTCCATATTACCTAGATCTTTAAGATGCTGTTCTGCCACTGATGGCCAAGCTGCTTACTGAAAATGTGCTGCTGACATAAATTATTCAAGTGCTAGCTTTTGCCTGTCTGATACAATTCACAGAACCTCTGTGCAATGTGTCCTGCAGGCAGATGGTAGCAAATAAACTTCTGAAGTGAGATCAAGGCATATAGGAGCAGCTGAAAGAAAGATTTATGGAATTGATGAGAGTGGAAAGGTACTCAGTGAACCAAGATGGACAGTTGTAGTTATTTTCAGTGTTTAAAATATCATTGCAATGGCAGATGCAGAAACTTGGTAAGAGAAAAGGATGCTGGCAAATTGTGGGAGAAATGCTGCCTATAGCACTTCTTGTAAAAATTGTCACTTTGTAAGCTGAAGATGCACTGATGTCTACCTTGTGCTACATGGACTTTTCAGAAACTCATTAAAGATGATAATATCCCAACAACATGCAAATTAAATTTAACAAGTCTATAGAACTATTGAAAAATTTGGTGTGAATCCAGCAATTCTGCTTTCTCACCAATTTATTGTTCCTTCAGCACTGGACGTGTGCCACAAACACACAGCTTTACTTCTCAGCATGTCTGGAGCATAGTTAAAGAGACAGGTTCAAAATGAATGATTCAAAAAGGAGGAGCCAAAAGCAAATAAAAGGAAAAGGAACTATCTTATTTTCTTGGTCCCAGCTGCTTTCCAGTAGCAGTGGATGTTGGAGATTTTGTGTGTCTTCCTCAGAGAACAAACACTTTAATCAGCCTAATGATTTTCTGAGTTGGTGAACTGTAAATGCAGCTCTCTTCTACACAGATAGCTAAATTAGTTAGAAACAGCCCTAATCATTCCAGCAGCAAGCATTGTTATGTGACCTGGATTTTTTTTTCAGGTACAAATCATATGATAGATCACAAGTGATTAATTTGTTGGAAGTGGTTTCAGGTTTAGTTAGACACAAGAACCATGAGGCATTTTTATAAGGTGTGTGGGGATTCAAGCATTAGTAAGTTATTGACTGATTATCATTTCTCAGATTCATACAAAGGGCATATTGATAAAATCAACTTCTTGGTTACATTCCAGCTTCAGCTGAACACATTCAGTAAACTGCTTAGTGCTGCTGCTATGTGTGATGGTTTTCTTTAATTCTGGACATGAATCTTATGTCCCTTTATTTATTTTATTTGTTTAATTTGTTATTAAATGAAATAATTGTCTGTAGCAGTTAACCAGGATTTTTCAACTAAATGCTTATTGCTCTGGTGCTCTGTCTGCAATTCCAATATATATAGTTGCAGAAGTGCTCTAAAGAATTAACTCTAGCAAGATTGTCAACTTTTATCCTTAGCCTAGTAGTGGAGAAATACTCACAAAGAAAAGATAAAAGCTTTGGATTCTGCTTGAGGAGAGCATAAAATCTTTGTTTCACAGACATATGCTTTTGTTTCAATAGCAGAAGGAAACATCCTAGATCATACTGCTGTGTTAGAAATGACTTTGAACTCTCCACAGCTGCTATGCTGGTTCAGTATGTAGCTCTTTGCATCCCAAAGTGGCCAAATAACACATTTTTAGGTGTGCTGGGACTTAGCAAAATCATTAATTTCCTCAAGCATTCAAAGCAGTGTTTTGCATGTATTCACAAGATGGTGAACTGTTACCTGAACACTTCATGTACAGTGAGCCAGAACAAGTCAGAAAAATTTATTCTTTATAGAAAAAGCTAAATATATTTAATATGCTTAAATGTCATAGCCAAAAAAGACATTCGTGATGTTGCAGGTTTTTCAGTGTTTCTTCATGTTGAACAGTCAACACAAATAAGTAATTTTCATTTACAAAAAACTTTTGAAGGTCACCTTTGAGATTAGTATGTTTTAGAACACTTTACATACATGTGAAAATTCTATTCTCTTTAATTATTCATCTGTTCAGCTTCCTGCTCTTCATGATGTAGCTGCTGGGAAAACAAATTTCACAAGTTAGCTGAATTTTTATGCTTAAATTATTAAAATGTCAGAATAACTTGGTCTTTATTATGGAAACACTGAAAGAGGCAGCTTAATGTTAATGCAGGTAATGCCTATGCAGGCATGATATATGTTAAGCTATAGCTTTTATATCATCACATTAGAAATCCTTCTTGATGCAGCTTCAGAAGAAACTTGAAAAACCTTCAAAATGTGATGGAATTATCCTAACCTTGTTCCTTAGGTACATAACAGCTAAAAGACATTCTTTGCACTCGAATCTGTGT